TTGGTTATTATGTTAAGATTATTTTTTGAAATTTTATTTATTGAAATCTCAACCATTCTTGGAATATTTTAAGGTAATTTGTAGAATAGTTTCAGGGTAGATTTGAAAGTATTTTAAAGTATTCAAATAATTGTCTAGATGTCAATCAATAATTATCTTATCATGAACCAATAGTTGATTAACCATAGGTTTTAAAAAGCTTCTGGTAAATTAATTATAAGCTACTCATTCGTTTGTTATTATTATTATTATTATTATTTAAAATTATTATTAAAATACAGCTAATATTAATAAAGAATAATACTTGAAAAATTTTTAGTTTAACATAATAAATATATTTTTTTTATAATACTTTTTTATATTATAATATTTATTATTTTTGTTTTTTTTTATTGTTATATATTTTATTTTTTATGTTTATACATCATAAGTAGATAGACTATGAGAGTTCTACCACACTTTTTTTTTTCAAAGAGTGTTGTGGTAGAACTCTCATAGCTGTAGACGTGAAAAGTGGGGGGTTCTTAGGTTTTGCTCAAGCAGGGGTTTGAGGGAGGATTCCTGAGGTAAGATGTCGAACATAGATGGGGAAGTCTTACTGAATCACCTTGATCCTTTAAACTTGACAACTGAAGCTAATGTGATGCATTGATCTGCAGCTGCATAATCTTAAGTTGCTATGAAATCTAGAAAAATGTCCTGTGGGGAAAAACACGAGTAGGGAGGAAAAAAGTAAGGAGTAAGGCCTACCCTCTATTTATTGGCAGATTTGTTTTCAAAAATCATCAGTCTTGCTTCAGACATAAGTCTTGTAAAATTGTCTTATAGATATGAAAAAGTTGTTAACAAGTGATCAAGGTAATTCAGTAAGATTTTTCCATCTATGTTGTCCACATACCGAGACACAGCATACCTACACTTAGATAACGCTCAGACAACATTAATTATTCAGTAAGATTTCCCCATCTATGTTCGACATCTTACCTCAGGAATCCTCCCTCGAACCCCTACCTCAACAAAACCTAAGAACCCCCCACTTTTCACGTCCACAGCTATGAGAGTTCTACCGCAACACTCTTTGAAAAAAAAAGTGTGGTAGAACTCTCATAGTCTATCTACTACCATAATAATTAGGAATTTTTATTTTATTAAACAAATGAAGAGAAAAAAATATAGTAGATTTTTATAACAAAAGTATGCCATGAAAGAAATAAAATATTTTTACTCTAAATAATTAAAATTAATTTATTTAAAACAAAGATCAATGTTACTAATCAATTATGTATTTAATTTAAAAAAAAAGAAAATAATAATTATTGAATTGAACAAAAAATGAATTATCATGGTGATGATAATGTTATTATGCTTATCATTGATACAAGATCATACAATGACATTTAAATAAAAACAGGTGAAAATAGTTAATTATAATAAATTAACCGTTTCAATACTCTTTCCGGTTGACTTTTCAGTATCCTTTTTTTTTACCTGTGCATTTAAAAGCTTTATTTATGTCGGGCACATGTAAATGTTATCTCTTCCATGCATACATTCACTGTTATTCTTGTTCATCAGTGAACTAGTTGTTAATACTTTTATAGTCTATTATTGTTATTCTATTTCACACATAATATATTAAAACGTAAAGTAATTGCGTGCTCATGTGCCTTTCATTCGTCACGGTTTCCAACTACTATCACTTTCAGTACAATCGCCTTCCAAGCTCGATTGTAAGCACTCGAGCTTTATGGAATTGAGATTGAAGCGTCTGTTTATAACTCGGCGTACCTACTGTTAGGTCTGACTATTGTAGTATTGACTACTTCCTTCATGAAGGATTTATCGATTCGCAATTGTTATAATAATCATAATAATAATAACAACAACAAATTATTGCCCTATTTTTTCAACAGAAGAAAAAAATTATTTTTTACTTTTCTTTTTTCAATTTAAGTATTTATTTTTATCAAAAATATTCACATTCAGTATTTTTTCAGAAACAATAGAACGAAAAAAATACAAGTCAATAAATAAAGCAATTTTTTGGAATTTAAATAAACTTTAGAAATGTATTGATATTAAATTGTTGAAACAAAACTAGTTGTCAAGTGTAGTGGTGATTGTTTAAAACCCTAGTGTCCAAGTAATGTGCTGAGTATTGTATCAAGCTTTGCTTATCTTTCTGATTTAAAAAGTGCTTGAAATGATTCAGTAGATGATAAAAATAGAATATCGATGAAAAAAAGAGTTTGATTTAGGATAGGATGAATGGTAGTTAGAATAGAGGAATGATCTATAGTGTGAAGTGTGTGTTTGATAGTTATTAGGTTTATTAACTTTGTTGTGGCTTTTAGATGTCAATTAATAATTACTGTTGATTGATGCCATGACTCAAGGATAAATCAACGGATTTATTCGAAACATCAATTATTTCTAAAGGTCGGAGTATATTGATTACATTTGCTATCATATTCATAGAAAAATTATGAGTTGAGGGAAAAAAATATTTAGAACTAAATAAACTCATAAATAGAAATTTTTTAATTTTATCCTCAGGCAAAAATATTTAATTTAAAAATATTGTTTTATTAGAATTGAAAACAAATGATTCTAAAAGTTGAAATGGCCATTGTGTTGATCATATCATTGATCTCAAACAAATAAAAAAACTTGATGATTATTCCAAAAAAGGATTTCCTTTCAAAATAACAGAATTTTCATGTGATATTTCAGTTCACAAAAATTAATACAATTTTTGAAAAACTTTACACAGGCTTGTTTTTTTGTTCAAACAAAAACAATGTAAATATTCCAATATTTGTGAAATATAAAGAAATTTATTTTGAAACATAAAAAATAAAAAACCATATAGAAAAAATAGCTTTGAATTTTTTTTTTTTAGGATAACAGCAACTATTTTTTATCAAAAAGGGATCCTGTCCTCGAAACAATATCTTTTTTAAAGTAAGAATATCATTGAAATGTTTTTCTTTCACAAAAAATATTATTGTTTGTTGAAGACAAGTTGCTTTACACTTTAACTCCAACTTTTGAAAAAAAAAGGTCTTCAGACATTGAATAAGTGAGAAGTTAAAAGTCTGACTCGAATTATAAAATAATTGATAATATTACCAAATTAAGGGCAAAAAGGATAGCTCATTTGTGATTCTAAAAATAACCATCCTAACTAATTTAATATAATTAATTTTTTAATTGTTTTTTATTACTGTAGAATTATTTGGAATTTTTTAAAAGTCTTTTTTAATAGAATGATAATAATTATATTTATTCAATTATCAATTGAAATTCCAATAAATCCCAGTAGTATGAAACAGATTATCCAATAATCCCAAGATTTTAGAGAATACATCAACATCGATTAGTCTTCACAAATAGCACCCACGATCTATTGACTTATCAGGACCATTTCTTTAGAAAATGAAATCCTTTTATCTGTTTTACCTGGGGACAAAATTGTCAGGCTTTTATACTAGCGAGTTTTATCACCTCGTAATTTTTATCTGACATGTATTTATTGCTGAATGTAAGCTTTTACAAAACATAAATCTGCTTAAAGTATTCCTTCTGTTGACATTCCAACTCTGATTTTGTAAATTTTTTATTTGAATCTTACATCAATAGTAATAATTACTGTACCATTTACTAAACTCAATTAAACTCCAGTCTATTATATCTGAAACAAATCCAGTTTAGATAAGATTTATGACGACACTATTTGATTAAATTACTTTCTTTCCAAAACTTGGAAAATTTAAACTCTTAATTAATGTGCACTTGTATTCTTTATTTATAATCTTCTGTTATTTTTTTAGAAAATAAATTTATTGTATTCTCTTCTTTGAATTGGAGAGTTTTTAAAGCTTTCTACATGAATTCTCAGATACAAAATTCTATTGTTATTCATTAAATTTACACTCAGAGATAATTTTTTCCATTACCATATTATTCAGTAAATTTTTCACCATAACTTTTTTGTCCCTAAAATTAGATATATCATTATAATAAATTATAGGTTATTATTTAATGACTGTCAGATTGATAAATAATTAATTATAAATTAACATAATATAATTTCACAAATAATTTTTACCTTGAGAATCCAATATTAAAAATCAATTTATTTTAAAAATTAATCATCAGAAGTTGGAAATATTAAACCAAGGTTGAGTTTTTAATTGCGATATTTACGTAGTTAATAACCTGCTAAACAATGCAATAATTATTTAATTCATCAAAAATCAATGATAAAATTATTAGGGAAAACTTATTAATAATCCATCATGATTATTTCGTATGTCAGTTACTTTTTTAGACCATGATAAAAAATATTCAAATTATTATGTGAATATTTCTTGAGTTTTATTTTTATTAGGGGAAACAAAATAAATGTAGATGGTTGATAAAATATGAATCAAGAATTAAGAAAAAAAGAGAACTTGAACTTGTTAAAAATTAATTTTTTTTTAAATAGTCATCTCACGAGTGATAAATCAACTTCCTAATCATGAGGTTCATTATCAGATCGGATTATGTGTAACAATGACAACATAACCTGCAACGTGCAAACTCAAGTTATCTTATCTATTAAAATACACACCTTTTTAAAAGCTTTAAAATTCGATAAAATGCTAAGTAAAAGTCTTGTCCATTATCACAATTTACATAATAACTTAAAGTGTTTGTTATTATATTACATCATTCATTCATGTACTTTAATATTTTTTTATAAAACTTATATGGAAAAATCCTGATGTTTGACTTGCTGTCATGTATAACAAGGTTGATTTATAGCTTAATTAGCAGCTGGAATAATTATTTTTCAAAAAGTTGATCAACATAACCCTTCTATACATCATGATCTATCTTTAATATTAATTGAAGAGTAAAAAAATTTATCACTTCTGGTATAACAATGATTCATTCAATAAAAAATTTTTTTCTTATCTTCATTATCTAATGGCCTATATTTTATGTTTTAGGTCACATAGATTTTTACAAGCTACCTATAAACCCAACCCTAACAAGTGAGTATGTAAAAGTTCATTACCGTTCGTGTAAAGTTTTTTAACTCTCATATAAATTATTGATTACTATTTTATATGAGATTTTATTAATTATATCATGTTTAATGATAATTTAATTCAATGTTTACTTACTTATTTATCATTTATGATTTTTATCAATCTACAATAATCAGATTGTTTTTATTTATTGATATTAAATTGAAATAATTTTATTTGCTAAATTAAATAATTGCAGAGTTAATGGTTTTCATATTGACTACAACAGAATCTAAGTTCAAAATCAACCCACATAGAGAGTCTAAAGTTATTAAGTCAATAGGCAATAGATACCAGATAGATCCATTTACTTCTTTTTCCTTCCTTGAGTTTGTGCTTGAAGAAGCGGTATAGATACTCTTGAATTTCTCAATCGTAATTAAACTTCGATTATCTTGATTCTTGAGCCAGAAACCAGTATCAAGTTTTCTCTCAAATCAATGACAAAATTGTCTATAATTCATTCTAATGATAATGAGAGATGGTCTAGAAGGATTAGATAATTTTACAACAAAAGATAGAAAAATGTGTAATTAAAAATGAAGAAATATATTTTTCAGTTCGATAAAAAAAAAAAAAAGTTTGCACAAGAGTTACGTCGAGTGAGACTAATTGAAAGCACGCTACTGTAATTTTGTTTATAAATTCACTGCAAAAGTTACTTAACTTTATATTGCATGCTTGAATGTATAGTTAATGAGTAGTGGTCATGCTTTTTGTGACAAATAAAATTACTGAAGGAAAATATTTCCATCATCTTGTGTATTTTATTATAATTATTGTTATAAGGTTTATTATAAATTAATGTATACTTGAACTTAGAAAAATATTTAAAGTTAAATAATAATGTCAACCATAATCATCAGTTTTTACATGCTCTTGGGACGTAGTTTTTCTCTTATTCTGCTCATTTGGTTTCCAGGAGGGACTTACGTATTTTTGAACATAAGTTAAAACATATCTGAAACCAATATTTTTGTTTTCTTTAATTTCACAGTTGACAAATGAAGATGTTCTGTAAACAGTCAATGGTGGTTCTCGATTTTCTTCTGATGGATAGATAAACATTTTTCTTATATCTGATCGTTCACTAGGCTCAGGTACTACAATTTTTGGTAAAGAAAAATCATGACGTTTTATTCGTTCTTTCGATGATTTTCTTGAAATGGAAAAATTTTTTATTAGTGGATTAGTACTTTTTTCAGTGGGGCTTTTGCTATCATCTAGGTAATCACATTTACAACACTCAAGCTGACAATTTTCTAAAATAGTCCCAAGCTGACTAGGTGAAGTCATGTCTTGGTTGTTTATAAATATTTTGTCTTTCAGATTTATTACATCATCAGTTGAATCTATTTTCTCTTGGCCTGAAAGTGGACTTTTCTCTCTATCAAGTGTTTCTGACGTCATCTTTTGACTGTCTTGTAATGAAGGGGAATAAGATGCATCTGTAATATTCCTTTTTGAAGGTTTATTTGTACTTTTCATACTAACCCAGTCATCTTTAACTATCTGTGTTTCGAACGAAAAATTTTTTATTGGATAGTCTCGTGTTATTTTTTCTCTTTCCAATCCTCTGCTTTTTGGTTTCTCATTTTCTGCAACTTCTCTTCGCATTTCTCTCAATCCTGATGAAATTTCACGATACTTAGCACTAATATTCTCCAGATTTTCTTCGAGTTTTTGCCAAGGTTGTGAAGATCTGGTTTCTAGGTTCACACTTGGAGAATAAGATTTTTTAAATGAACTGTCATTACTTTTTGTAGGAGAAATTATAAGCTCTTCTATCTTAGAATAAACATCGTCCTTAAAACTTGAAGATGATTTCTCATGTTGTTGATGATGTTCTCCAGATAGACTATCATTTTTTATATCATCCTGATGATTAGAACTTTCAGGACAATTATAAAATACTGTACAATTATCTTTATCTTTAGTTTTATCACAGACACAGGTTATCAATCCTCCAGTTCCCTGATTCTTTAACATTCCGTCCAACTTCGGATTCTTATAAGGTGATTCATGAGGGAGTTTTTCCATTTGATGGTTTTTAACTTTATGAGCCGTTTCTCTGTTTTCAAAGTCACTTGGGAATAACTCTTGTCTTTTGTGAGATGCCTCTTGGGATCGATTCCCCCTTGCAGTTCTTTGGTAAGTTTGTTCGTTCAAGTGCTTGAAGTCATTCTCCAAACTGTTGCGATTGCTAAATCTTTCCAACTTTTTCTTTCTTCTTTTTGTTCTTTGATTGTTCGACTTGCCATCAGTTGAAGAAGCATCTGAAGTCACGCTACCACTTTCATCAACAGGTGATGATGATAATGATGATGAACTTAATTCCAAATATTTTTTACTTCTTGATAATTCTAATTTGTCTGATGTTTTTGCTAAAATAGTCTTGGGTTCTTGATATAATGCTGAACAACAACTTTTAGGAAAACTTTTAATTACTTTCACACTTCTCACCTTTGTTGTGTCTAGATTTTTTATTGTGTTTGTGGCCTTAATGCTTTGTTTTATCACTCGGGGCTTATCACATAAACTTGTGTAAACTACATCCTGGTATGAATGATCATATCCAGTACGGAATTTTCTTCGAGATTGAGTAGTGGTGGTGAATTTATTATTTCTATGATTCCTTCGTAATACTTCAGACCTTCTTGATAAGTTTTTTGAAGATACCTTTTTACGAACAACTTCAAAATCCGTGCAAGACGGACAATCACATTTGAATTCATTTCTGGTACGACTTAGCTTTTTTTTCGCCAACTCTTCAAGACTCTCCCACGTGCGTCGGTCTCGCGAACTTCTTGAAGTGTTGTCGTCACGCTTACTTTGGATTTGTGCCATATCCTCATCACGATGACTTTATCAGAATAGATATGTGAAAAAATATGAGATAAAAGTCACAAGTAGGTTACTTGATAACCTTGGCTGAAATAAGTCTTCAGCAAATAAACTTGTATTGATGACATTTCCTGGTTTTTGTCTGACTATAAGTGCTCTTCAGGTTAGACATCAATGGATCCTATGCCTAAGTTCAATTAAAACTTATTTTATCTCAGATATTTATATTGATCATAAATTATCTTAATCAGGTAACTTTGAAATTAAAAGACAAGGCAAGATCAATAATTACGTCAATTTGATTCTATAATAAATTTGTTTAAGAATACTAAAAAAAACATCTAACTTCATTCATTAGAATATCAATTGATTTGAGTTGGACTTGAAAATTTACATCATGAAGGTGAAGATTATTAAAAGTTTGAAAAAGAATGTCATTCAAAAGTTTCATAAATAATCGTCACTTTTTAAAGATTTTATTTTTATTATAAATAATTAGACTTACAAAAAACTAAGAGACGTTTAAAATCCTTTCTTTTAAAACTTTCTACGTTCTTTCCAACTCTCACTTCTTTATTTCAAGGCATAAAAAATTTGTAGGGAATTTTTTTCGATTATAAATATGAATTAGAAGTTAAAAAACTTGATTATTTGATTATAAAGTTTAATATTATATTAATCAATATTTAACTTTTTTATGATATAAATTCATGATAATTGATTCCATCGCGTGCTAGTATGTCACAATAATTATTAGAAAAATGTTTTACATCAAATGGTTACTATAATTCTTGTTTACCAAGTTCAATATATCAAAACCTTTCCAACAATAAAATTTATTTAAGCTTTGTCACTGTAATATAACAGCTGATCATTTCTTATTTTAATAACATTAATTCAAATAATGAAAGAGACTGCTCTTATTTATTTTTTCTTACACTTATCAATCAATTACCATCATTTTAATCAGTACTATTTAATCATCTTTTAAGTGGAGCTAAAATGATTATAAAGAAAAATTTTAATTTAAACCACAATAACTAATTAATTACATTTTTAATTAATGAGTGTTGATGGACTACATCCTAATCAAGATAATTTTGTTAAAAAATTTATCTTTATTCAAGGACATCATATTATCATCAATAGAATATAATTTTTAAATTGTTGACTCTTATCTGAACTTTGCAGGATTAATTCCTGTTTAAAAATACATTTTATTGACTAAAATCCTGATAAAAAAAATGAAGGATATTCGTAACAATAATTTTATTATGTTTTGTTCCACTAGTATGTTTTATAATTATAATTTATCTCTTCTTGTAATTTGTTGGTGTACTTTGCTAGGTATCAGTTTCATCTAGAAATTGATTTATAACTTTAATAGTTATAGGGATTTCCTCAGAAATTTTTGTAACAGGTAATATAGTCCAGTATCAGTCGATCAAGTCTTTGAGGTTTCGCTTACGCTTGAGAAAACTTGCTCTCCTTCGAACTGGTTCACCATCAGTGTTCTTGTTTGTACAATATAGTCTATAACTACAAGCGCCGCGTCTGCAAACATGTACTGCCCTCAATATTTTTATTTTTTCCACAGAATAAAATGAAGATAAAACATTAAAAAAAAGAAAAATAAGTTTCAAGAAAAAATATTTCCACTTTTAACCAAAGAATTACGATATTAGAATCTCAAGTAGTTTATTAATTACTTGAAGAAAAAAAAATCTCTTTATTGATTAATTCTCAGGAAAATTGAAAATGTTCTTTTACGAGTTACTTACGAGAATTTCTGTGAAGATTTTAAAGCTGAGTATGATGAAAGTGCGGCAATTGGACGCCAGAGGAAAAACCGATCATTTGTAATAGCAAGAGAGTCTTCTTCATTGCAACTAAGTCCAATCCAAGGTCCAACAATGAAAATAATCATCATTAGAAAAAGACCATGGTAAGCAATTGGCCAATAGTAGTGCAACACGTTGCTCCAATATTCGCTGACACCTCGATCGATTGGCTATAATCAAAGTATATACTACGATTAAATAATCAGCACTTGATGACCAACTAAATTGTGCTATGAACCTTATCGTTTAAAGGGGTCTTCACCTTTATGTTTTCCAAGCTTGAGTCTATCCTTACCATTTTCATATCCGACTCTTCTTCAAGATCCTCCCAATCTCTTCGAGCTATTGAATTTTCCAGCATTGATGACATCAATCTTTTTGATCTAACATTGAAAATAATGTAGAGTCAATGCTTTTGTGATGCTGCTATTATTCTTTAAAATAACATTAAATCATTTTGTCTAACAGTTTAATAGATGATGATAGACTTGATCGAATCTGCTTTTGATATTCAGACTGATAATGGATCTTTGTATGATTTTAGTTAGGTTTTAGCAAGATCATCATCAAGACTATGCTTATAGGTATTAAGTATTTAAAGTGCGAAAAAATTAGAGTCGTTTAAAGCGATTGATTTGAAGATTAAATTGAAGAAAAAAATGAAGATTGGTTAAGTCTTTGTAAGGAATTAATTATTATGGTTTAATTATAAACTAATAGTGTATCTTAGGAGGTGATTCATGGAAAGGATGTAGAGCTTTCGTAAATGAACTGAGTAAATACAGGGAAAATTAGTAGAGAAATTAATCAAATACCCTGATTAATACCAAGAGTGTTTCGTCTGAGAAATAACAGTGGTTCATTTACCTCCAATCGGATATTAAGCAATTTTCAGAACGTCCTCTACGATTCTTGATTATCTCTTCCAATGGATATTTTATAAATGTTGTGTTGATAGTGTCCATTGTATTTTTCTGTACATTGAATTTTTATAAAAAATTTTGAAAATTTATTTATTTAACCTGTTATTTTACTGTAGATTTTAGGTTCTTCCTCATGTGAGTCATAAACAGTTGAATTTTGTTATTGATCTTCGCTTTAATCAATCTCATACTTGAAGCCTTTAAAAAACTTCATATATTCTTATGATATTAAAAATAATTTTTTCTTTTACGCTAGTATTAATCCATCTACTTTTTATTAGTAATAAACAATAATAAAACAATTGATTCTTTCTAGTAGAAAGAAATATTTTTAGATTGTTCATGGATTGATCAGTAAATATAGATTGTTAGTTGCAAATTGTTTTTATCAATTCCTTGAAAAATAATACACTCCAATGCATATTGAGGTGTTGGTTGCAAAAAATTAGGTTGAGTAAATTCCAGTGAATTGTTTTATTGACTCAGGGTATCTAAAACGTGTGATTGGGGTGATAGATAAACTTACTGAGGCATCATGACACTTATGGTGTGAAATGTGCATCACGTGTATAAAAAAGGTTCAAAAGGTCAGGTTGAACTTTGGTCTTCAATCTCGGTCAGCAAATTTTTCTCAAAGGATTGTTTCACAAACTCTCAATGTACCATTTATCTTTTATTTTTTATTTAAAAAAAAAAAGGTTAATGTTATGTCTATTTTATTACTTTTCAACTGGAAAACTCATTGACTTGTTCTTTCATTGGAAAGTTGTTCTTGTTTTTTTTTCTGTTACAATGTATCTTTTATGGGAGATGAAATCCAAGTAAAAATACATTATAAGAATAAAAGCTCATGAGTTAAGGTTACGAGAAAAAAAATAAAACACGTGAAAGATAAGCTTATATGGAATAAGAAAATGTTAAGGTAAAATTTGAAGTTATGTCAAGATGAAATCAAATTGAACAAACTTTTCAATTGAAACATTTTATAACATTAAAAAAAAATCTAGTTTGTATAGAAAATAATAAAATTTTAGAAAATTAATATCTGATGTTATAAATAATATTCATGAGTAAATAATAAATTGCAACTCACGTAAAATGCAAATTGGATTATCATAGTATTTTTATTGGATTTAGAGTTTAAATTACAATTTATCATTTGTAATTTATGTATTTAATATTTTTATCAGAATTATTAATAAATTTGTCACATTTGAAAAATAATGGATCATTTATTTTTATCTAGAGGAGTAAAACAGGATTATGCTCTGCCCATTAAAACATTGGATCCAACTACTAAACTGTTGAAAAAATGGATCCAACATTCATTATAAATTTTTTCTATTTATTAGAGTTATTAGAATAGTCGTCAACTTTTTTATTTGATACTCCAAAGCATTTTTTATTCAGTAAAATGTAAATTATTATTCTAAAAAATCGTTAGTCTATTGAACCCAAATGCATTAAAATGTCCAAAAATGATTTTTATCAAATTTATTTGGTTTCTTTTATAATCCAAGAGAATTGTGAAGCAGATGATAGCTTTCTCACGTAACCATTTATTTGAGTCTACTCAAAAATACTCTCTAGGGGAAAATGTGTGAATTCAAATGATCATTATTTTTTTTTGTTGTACACCAATCGACTAGACGACCCACTAGCTTTTGTAGATGATAGATGTTCTTGACACGTTTCAACACTTTTCAAATTGAAAAAGTATTTCAACAAAACAACATTCAGCTGATTTAGAACAGTTGTTTTTAAAGAAAGGTAACATGAATTCTATTTGTAAAATAGAAAGATTCTTTTTTTTTTTCATTTACTGGAGTAAATTAAAAATATTTTATTCAATTTTTTTATTCCATCACGAAATAACGATGGAAAATAGTGTTGGTTGAGCGACGCTTCTGAACTCCGTATCTTTTCAACTGTGTCTACTCTTTCCTCGTTTCCTCACAGTGAGAGGGTATTGTTGTAGATATACAGTCTAGAGTATTTACACTGCCCACACATAGAGATAATAAATACTCAGCGTTTATGAAACAATATACGATGTCAGGTACAATTTTGACGTAGACTCTTGAAAATTTACACTTTACTATTTTTTTTATTTTTAGATTCATACTATGGATTTCAGATGAACAATGGATTAAATAATTCATACAAACAGATTTTTTTTTAAACATTTTTTGTTTGAATATCAAGAATAAATTTTACTAAAAAGGATCAGAGCATAGTTTGAAGCACTTTTCAATATTCATTTAGTTTTTTATTTTAACTAATCAATAAAAAATATGTGGTTAATAATAAATAAGAACTCTAGTCATCTAGGACAATATTTTTATACATCAATTATTTATTATTGTTTTAAAGAAAAAAAAAAATCAATATAAATTTAAATAGAAAAAATACATTTTTTTACATGACTTTAAAAAAATTTTTTTTTAATACTAAGTTTTTTAAAATATTTTTACAATAATTACAAAACTATTTATTCTGAAAGAATGATCAAATTTCAAACAATTTTTTTTTAACTTGTATTGAAAGTGTATAACTATTTCAAAGAGCTTTTTCTGGAGCTTGAATCTTTGAGTTTATTAAAGTGCTACTGAATTACCTATTTACACCAATAATCTGAAGAATAAAAGAGAAGATTATTGTAAATGAAAATGATATCTTTTATGCTATAATGTAAAAAATTGTAAAATATCATAATTCAATCATTTAATTAATAGAGTTATTTAAAAAAATCTATCATTATTTATACTAATCATCTAAATTTAAAATTCAATTAATTTTTTGCAACTTCATGATTTAATTATTCAGAAGTTAGTGAAATAAAATATTAAAAGTAATTTCATGAATTTTGATCAAAAATGTACAACAATTTTTAACCTCAGGGCCCATTAAATACTTGTTCACCTCATTTCAAGTTCCTAACTTCCAGAAGCATTTTACTTTACTAAGTTAAATTACGCATTTTTATAATACATATTGACACATTTATTTATATAACACCTACATTTCTACAATAATTTACCCCTTAAACTTTTTAGACACCACCCAAAACGCTTTTAAAAAGCTTTTAAGCATAACTTTTTAAAAACAATAGTCCTTTCTATTGTGATAGGTTATGGCTTGCTACTGAACACTTTTTATACCTTGGAAATATCTACTTTAAGACATGACGAGAAGTGGGATATGCTTAGTAGCGATTATGCGAGTCAACAGGCTTGTAAAGTTGGGTGGTAGAAATTATCGAGTCACCCTTAACCTCCGTATTGTGTCATAAGATAGACAAAGATGCATTTATCATATCTTGCCTGATGCTGGAAGAGTCTTCCATACATCACTGTACTGCACCCTTTATGCCCTCATTGTTCTTTTTCTCTTGTCTGGGCTTTTTTTCCTTACACCCTCGAATATTCATTGCCTCATGTCGAGAATCTTTTTTCACTTCATTTCATTCTGATCTACATTCACGAGATAATATTTTTTAGCTTGGGTAAAAACGTTTCAGGAAAAATTCATTGGATCCAATAATTATCAATATTAAGCTTTTATAAATTTACTAGGGTTTTAGTGATTTTGAATTGCCAATGCATCAATTACGTTAATTTATCCTCTTCTAAATTGCTGAAACATATTTTACAAATATTTATTATAAAAATTACATAATGAACTTCATGAATATATTCAGAGAAATATAATTGGTTAACAGGTTTAATAGTTTTAGAGTAAATTAATTGATGAGTGGAATAAATATTTCGTAATGGATCTGGTTAATTGTTGGCTTCATTAAAGGATCAAAAATTGTAATAGCATTTTATCAAATTCGTTTGAAGTATAATTCAATAAGTCTTTCATGCTGATCCAGGAAGCTTTATGTTGAGATAAGTATATTGAAATTCCCTAATAAAACTGGGATTAAGTTCATTTAAAATAATCTGATTTATAAAATATTAATAATAAATATTTATAAAAACATTTCATGAATTAGTTTACGAAGTTGGATTGTATTAATCAAGATTATTTTTAATTCAACTAAATGTGTGTTATCACAATGAATATAGTGAACAGTTCTATATAGTCAAGTGGGCTAAAGGATAAAGTAAATTCTTGGTGGAATCTTGGCAATTTAAAATTTAACCAGACGAAATCGTTGGAAATTTCCTGAAAGATACACCTGGGTAGACAAAAATTTCCTGTTACCCATGAGGAAGACAAATAATAATAATGATCCTTCCAATCGAAATATATCTGGAACAATAGTAGATATAAAAAAAAGTTTCAAATAAAAGTTGTTAAGAATGATGAAATTTTACACAAAAAATTACTGATGATTTTTATCACTATCTGGCATAGTTCAAAAGTTATACGCAGTTGAAGTTCTAGAATTGATACCAGCTTTACTTCATGAACTGATAGACTCTATAGAATAATTTTCATTATAACATTTATTGATAAACATATATGTTATCATTTTAGATAGAATGAATATTCCACCCAGTTAGTCTACTCCAATAACAATCCAAAAAAATGTCCATATGTATCAACTAATTTTAATTTGTAATTAATGAATTTTCTACATGAAGAAAGAGTAATGAGTAGATGTTAATTACTTGTAGAAAGCAAATAAACCAACGCAACAGATGACCTTATTAAGTAGGTAGTATACTGAAAATACCATACATAAACTGGTTAGTAAAAGAGTAAACATGTAGCATATTCAACATCTCTCTTGCATCCACTTTAACCCACGATTTTGCACCAAATGTGTGTACAACAACAAACAATTCTTGTGAAGGAGTTGAACCAAAGAGGAATCACGTTACTGTTTCATGTTTGCTGTGTTTTTGTTCATTGTTTCCGAGTTATATTTATATTGGGGGCTTCCTGATGCTGAAATTATACTTGATGTAGAGGCTCTAGAGTAGCACGTATTGAACTTGTTAAATTGATAGCCCTCTTAAACTAGTGTTCGAGTTTTTATTAAGCTTCGATCTAATACTCCATTGATAAAATTAGAAGATACTTAAGCCAGAAAAAATAAAATGAAAGCTAAACGTTTGGTAGAAATAATTAACGACCTTTTTGAAGTTGAAATAAATATAAAAATTCCAGCAAAAATGTTTAATTATGAAACTTAATAATAAAATTCAAAAGC